GTACTGTTCTCACGGTGAACTTGTTCACCACGGTAAAGGCTACACGCATCTAATTTGTCTCACAGTAAAGAATGTTTCCTCCTAGTATATCTTACTTATGGACAACGTGAGCTGATGGGTAACGTGATATAAAAGACCTTTTTTATAACACCCGAGTAAAAGAATGAGGGGAGAACCTTGATTGCCCATGTCTGTTTCAGATCTGACAAGTCAATAAAGAAAATTGTTTCGTTCTTTCACAAGCAGCTGAAGCAAACAATAATGAATGTTTCTCCGTGAGGTCATGTGTTATTTGTTCCATGTATGCACTCAGACATTGTCAACGTGCCGATTTGCTCAAACAGAATGTTATAGAACTAGTATCAAATTTCTCAAAACCGAGTCCTATGGAAATGTATGCCCAACTTTGGAAAAAAACCCAACATGAACCGAGAAACTAACCTCAAGAAAGAATTTAAGCAAGTGCGCCTACAAATGAAACTTCTCTATTTTAAAATGATATATTATTATTTGTATTTGTCTCGCCGTATCTTTAAGTCTCATTTAGTTGCGTGTTCTCTATAAATAATTGAAGAAACAATGATGTGCCTTCTTGTAAAATGTCAGTCAAGACTAGGCAGAGATAATCGCCCTTACAGTGACGTAAATGTTAAGGCGGTCATTTAATGGTGTGTAAGTGTTTTGATAGTGATGTATGTTTTTGCTTGCTTTTGTTACAGTTAACTTTCTGTTGGCGAGAATAAGACTGGGGTCTTACGGTCTTCATAGGTGGAAAAAAAAACGAACCGTAAAACATGACCCTTGTTTTATGTCTGATTTACGTACAGCGTTTTGTTACCAGATTTGATTGTTAAGTGTATATCAAAAAGCCTTAGTACCTTTAAAATATGCTTTTGAAATGCCAATGGAAAATATGGGATAAAAGCTGTGCTTTGTCTTGTTTCCGGCCCACTGTGGTCTCAATCACACAAGTATGTACATCCCCGACTCTTGTTCTTTTGTGATCTCATCATGCCATGGGTGAGCGACCACAGCTACGGATTCTTGTCTGCATCGACTTCCACTTTTCCATTTGAGGAGGTTCATTACCCGCAGGGACGCGTGATCTGATTGCACTTTAGTCATCGCCTAGACATATTTGTACATAGATACCTTTGAGGCTTTGTAAGCGCCCACGCTTTCGGGTTTCTTGAGTCACAGACGTAAAACAAGGGGTGGAACCGAGAAATTGAGTAATTTAATTATTTTTTTATCACCCGCAAGGCACTTGTAGCTTGAGTATTGCCTCCCCTGCTGCGTAAGTTCGCCTGCTCCCGCCCTGAAGCCGATTTGTCTACACTCTGAACTGCTCCATAATGAGATGATAGTTCTGGGATTTCCTGCGGTTACTTCTAGTGGCCTTGAGAATAATTGTAGACTTGACTTTTGTGTCTCTCTGAGTGGGGCCTTTGGGGAGGGCTTTTCTTGCTACGAGATCGGATTAGATCTCTTCAGAGAAATCCCCCGTTGTGAGCAAGCTTGGCCTTAATAATACCCCGACCTCACACCTCACGCTCTTTGGCCTTGCTCAGGCGTTTGCTCCCCTTTACACCTACGTATCCCTCCGCCTACCCCCCCCCCTCCCGTCCAACACCCTCCCCTTCACACACACACACACACACACACACACACACACACACACACACACACAAACACACATACTCACACACACTTACACACACACGCACATACGCGCGTTTTTTTCATGGAAACAATATATTTACCAAAGTAACACCAAAAGCGACAGATCAAATCCCTAACTTCGAAAAACAGTTAATTGTAAAGTCAGTTTCCATTTTAATTCCTATTCATTTACTGTCAACTTTAAGACTGCGCTACGCTGTATACAACGACACCTCTCTTTGTTCAGCCAAACTGCAGTTTAAAAAAACCCAAACACCTTTTTCCTACTTTTGTATATTGGATAAATATTTACTGATAATGTTTCATTTCGTCCCCCGAGTGGCCAATCTGAAATAAAAAAAGGCTTCCTCGACCTCTAACTTGTGGCAGGCGTCCTGTTTGTAATGCCGCACAATCATTCTAGTGTAGTTACTTGGAAACGAAAACCACCTTCAATTCACTGTTTTTCAAATCTACAATTCTCTTTTAAATTGGTCAGTTGTCTGTCGGTATGTATGTTCCGATCCGCTGTGAACTACTGGTCTTGCAGAATGACATCTCATCATGTACTTGATTCAGAAATGCACTGAAAATCGAACTATCTTGAAGGACATCATGGACAGTTTTGGAAAGATCACCAGAAATAAGTTGAACCACTGTAACTGATGTGTTATGTTAAGTCAGTGTTTTGCACCAATTCCTCTCTTTCCTCTCATACTCTCGCAAACACACACACACTCACACACACACACACACTCACACACACACACACACACACACACACAAACACACAAACACACGCACATGCGCGCGCGCACAAATACACAGACGCAGACGCACACATATACACACATACACGTATACACATACGCACGCAAACACATTCATTTATGTACACGCTCTAACAACATTCAGACACACACGCAAGCACACACACACACACACACACACACACACACACACACACACACACACACACATAAATCACACATACACTTACACACATACATAAACTCACCCAAACTCACGCGCACATGTGTACACACATTTTCTTTCTTTGAAGAAAACAGGTTATATTCAAACAATTGTAACCTCCTTGCTTGACACGTCAAAATCCCACTTTACATACCTTCCCCCATTCGCCTTTGGTCAAGGGATGGAACCTTGACAAACCCTGTGCGGATGGTTGCTAAGCTTGTAGAAAAAATGCCAGGGAAGCGGAAAGGGTGGGAGGGGGGGGGGGTTAGAGGGAACATAAATGGGAAATATTATGTACTTTTACAGCCGTCTCCTGTAGCCTATATCGAGTAGGGGAATGCTTAACAATTCTTCGTGTAAAGGGGGCAAATTAGGGAGACAGAGGGTTGGGGGTGGGAGCAGATGCAGTATTACTGGTGGACGAGTTTCGTATTGGGGGAGGGGGAGGCATTGGTGGACGTGTGGGGCATGATAGTAGAGGGATCATTGTAAATGGTTGGGCATGGTAAGGAGACGAGTCTTTTTAGGAGGCCGAAGAATATTGACAAGAAACAGTGTGACCTAGTCGCCTCGGAGCGCCCCAGTCTCGCCCCAATCCCCCAATGGTTTTACACAAAAAACGCATTGGGACAGATGCCAGTGATACAGCATCTGAAATATCAGAGTCTGGAGCCAAAATTACGTAAAAGGGAGAAGGAGGTGCATTGTCGGCGTGGGAGTGCAAATACTCTCAGTGTGACGAGGAGTGGGTGTGTATTGTTTTGGAACGTCTTCGAGGCTTTTATCACTCTGGCGGAATAGTAATCCTGTCATGATCGATGCCGACGATTGGGGATTCAGGTTTTAGACCGGTGGTGGCGACTCCGAGCCCAGAGATTTGTAATTTCGGCTATTATTCTGATCTTTGCTAAAACTCGTACGCTTTAAAGCTCGGCCCTGCTCTTGTGAAGAGAGGAGAAGCTTCTTCCGTGGTGATAGCGGCTAGCTAATAGTCACGTGCCCATAGTTTTCGTCTTACAAGGTGGCTCTCGAAAAGGCACTTTTCAAAATTGCTTTATCATTGCCTTTGTTGCAGTAGGCAGGAAATGGCGGCTTTCAGTAACCGAGTGTTATCAGAATGGGTTTAGAAAATATTTTATTATAGAAAAAGCTGATACATCAAACCATACTATGTCCAATTATTTTTATTTAGTTTCACTATCGTTGTTTTTATGTGGTGGGCTCTGTAATTTAAAGGAACGAAGCAAAATACAAATCGTGCTTGCAATCCTGTTGTCTGCTTTCCTTGTAGCAGAGAAAAAAAATCTTGACAACGAAAACCTTTTTAGAAGTGGCTATTTTGTTAACCGCATGACTACAGAATAGAGTTCAGAACCCCATATTTTAATCGCTACTCGTATCTGGAACAGGTCAGTCCGGAAGAGGGCATGTCGTGCTATTTCAGTATCAGGTGCGGTGGGTCTCTGACATGCTGCTCAGTTTACGCAAAACACATCATCAATCATTCACAGAAGGGCAAGAATGCGCGTTAGGAAGAGCTGAGTCAGCGTGGGAGTATCTTGGCCACCTTTTTGAACCTTAAGAAATCGCTGTTGTTAACTTTATCAAAGACAAGGTATGTGTACATTGAAAATACCAACTGACGCAAGCCACACTCGAACTGCTTACTAAGACGTCTTGTTATCTTTTCAAGTATTAGCATTATTAGTTACCAAAACAGTTTTGGGGTGAATATCGAGTTTATACACTGAGTTGGGAAGATATAAGCAAATATTCAGATCAGCATTTAAATTTAACATCATTGTTTTAGGACTATCATAATTGCTGTTTATTGCAATTCTTACTGTTACTTTCTGTACTTTTGATTTGATTTTGGACGTCCTTCCCCAACTCTCCTGTTGCGTTTGTACTTCGATGTGTATATTTATTCCGAAAGCTGACTTTAAATAATTATGTTTACAATTTTGCTTTTATGTGTATGGAAATATTACTGATCGCCCCCCCCCTCCCCCTCCCTTTTTTTCTCTTGTGCGAAATATACATATAAACTATGGCCGAACATACATGTATGGCGTTTACGTCATTGCTTTGTGTTTGTCTTTTTCGCTTTCAACTCCTTCGACTTATTCTTTATAATTCTACCTCTTGCCTTCTAAATTTCATCTGGTCAATAATACACGTTTGAAATCATATCTGTGTCCTGACCGATCCCCACACTGCCCGAAAAAGCAACAACAACAAAAAAGCAAAAACAACAAACAAACACTTCATGTTGACCCACCTTAAAATTATAGTTCCCATTGTGTTTGATTTACCAATAGATTGTAACATCTCTCTCTCTTTTACATCTCTATTCACAGATCGGAATATTCTCGCCTTTTCACTGAAAAACGAAACAGTGAGTGGCACGAGGATGGTCACCAAGATCTATCTCTGGCTCTATGTTTGGAAGCGTGAACGGAAGAAGAAGATGACGTCGTCATCTCGTCCCATTACGTCATCGGCTTCCTCTTCCGGTCCCTCGGCGCGCGACATGGCCGCCAAGCGGAGAGGTGCCAGAAACAAGAGACAAAAGAAAGGCAAGATGATCAAAATCCGTGTGTTTTTGTCTGACGAGAACGGCAAGCGGGGGCAGAGGATAGCGCAGCTGAAGAAAAAAGTGCATAAGAGTAAATGGGAGACACTTGGGTTACCCGTGTCCCTTGTGAAGTCGATTGAAAGCTCAAGTCGGGGTAATAAACTCTGGTTAAAGGTGGAGTGTAAGCGCTGCACACGGCGCACACAGCTAGTATTTCCAACCACATCTGACTCTAAGAAATGTCGTAGGAACAAGAGAAAGAAAAGGAAAGGGAGAACTAGAAAGTCATCGAAAGATAAGAAATCAATGAGAAGATTAAGGAAAAAGTGTGCAAGTGAGGTGGCAGATTCAAAAATGTTTCCTTTCATTGTCCTAGAGGAGAAACCTATGTCTGCAAATAGTCGTCCGAAGAGGGATGTAGAGAAGGAAAACGCTCCTGTTTTTCCGTTCCGTCCCCGATTCAGGGGAAAACGGGAGAAAGAAAGGTTTGGGTCTCAGCCTGAAAAAAATACAAGGGCTGAGATGCAAGCACACATCGTAAACCAAGAGCAAACTTGCTGCAGGGAACAGAAAGTCTTCATCGAATTCAGTGATCTCAATCTTGATGATGTCATCGTAGCACCGTCAGGTTTTACCCTCACCACTTGCACTGGCTCGTGCTTTGGTGACGTCACGTCAACGTCAACAAACAATGTCCATTCTCTTTGCTCAGGCAAGCATCCCCAAAACGAGATGCTTTCAAATACTGCGTCAGATGGCCAAATGGTGACCTCCTTTCCGGCTCAACACAAGACTTTGTCAGCCGATGACAATAGCACAAATACTAGTCACACGTCTCAAAAAATCCGTCAGCACGTGAGAAACTTTCTCGAGACAGAAGACCCCAACGTGCGTCGTGGACCTCACAGTTTCCTCAGTATCGTTGCCAGTAGAAAGCGACGCCGCTTGAAGTTGAAGGAGCCGCCCCCTCAATGCGGGCCTGTTGAAAGACAAAGTTTAGTGATTGTGCATTTTACTCAAGACAATAACTTAGTACAATCGGAACTGCCAAATTTCCTTATTTCAAAGTGTGGTTGCAAGGGCAATTTGTTACCAAACAAAGGGACGTAAAAAGTTGACCTCTTGGGGCATGGAGAGAGAGAGAGAGATAGATAAATAGAGAGAGAGAGAGAGAGAGAGAGAGAGAGAGAGAGAGAGAGAGAGAGAGTGAGAGAGAGACAGAGAGGGAGAGAGAGAGATTTAGTCAGAGTGAGACAGAGAGACTTTTGTATAATATTTATACGTTATGATTATATTATATCAAACCATATTCCATAATTTATTGGTCATTACAATGCTCAGGCATTTCATTACACTGACCACTGATCGAATGAGTATTGAGTATTCTTATGTGTGATAGAATTTCAATGAGGATTAGGAATCGGATAGCCATGGCGCTTTATGCTGATACGTGTTGACTTCTCTTACGACATAAGATGCTGGTCTGTTATAGTTGTGTTGTGCTTGTTTTAATCATTGTTTCATATGCTATATTTGTTATGGTAAACACATCTGAGGGTGTTTTTTTTTTCGAAACGTTTGTCCTGTTTAGAATGTTACCCATTGCCAGGTATAGCCAGGGGTGTGTGAAAGTAAGTGGTATAAAGATCCAATCGGTTGTTTTTTATTTGCTTAGAAAGTTCTGCGATACATACAAAGAGATGGAAAGAAAGAAAGGGATCGGGAGAAATAGAGAAGAATAGATAGATAGATAGATAGATAGATAGATAGATAGATAGATAGATAGATAGATAGATAGATAGATAGATAGATAGATAGATAGATAGGGATTGAGAGAGAGAGAGAGAGAGAGAGAGAGAGAGAGAGAGAGAGAGAGAGAGAGAGAAAGAGAGAGTAATGAAAAAGGTAGAGAAGGCGAAAGAAATTTGGAGGAGGGAGGGGGATAAAGTACATGAGAAGGAGGGAAATTGAGAGAGAGAGAGAGAGAGAGAGAGAGAGAGAGAGAGAGAGAGAGAAAGAGAGAAAGAGAGAGAGAAAGAGAGAGAGAAAGAGAGAGAGAGAAAGAGAGAGAAGGGGGGTGGGGAGGGAGAGAGAAAGAGAAAGAGAGCTAGTCCATAGTGTTTCTGACAGAATTAATGACACCCGCCATCTTCATCGCGCGCTCCATGTGATACTTGTATATCTATAAGCGCTCAACAGAACAACATGAATTGACTTCTAACAAGATATTGCTTTTATATTCTGTCATACTTCCAAAATCTTTGTTATTTGACTGGATATAGAATCATAGATGTAATCTTACACTGAGCCATCTCCCCTCCTCTTCCCCAATCCTCTGTAAGATGCGCTGGTTTATTCGCATCTTTTCAGATAATTTTTTAGACAGATGAGCCAATCTTTAGACGTTAAATTATGATGTTCCATTGTCAGTTCTATGTGTTGAACAATACGTGTTGTTACGTGTCTCGTCCTGCGAGTTTCATAGTCAATCTGTCTCGCTAGTGATACATAGATTCTCACTGACAGACACACAAACAGACACTCAGACAGACATACAGATACAGGTTTTGCCTCAAATCGTCCAGCTTTTTCTGTAAGAAGCTAGCTTTCAGGTCTGAAAATGTACCCAACCCTATCATAATTATCTTGTTACATTCCTTCTACATGTACCTTAAGTGATGTAGACCTTTGCGACTGAAAACCCAATTAAAGTCGATCACATATTTTCACAAGTAAAGTCTCAAGTTAGATGCACAGAGTATCTCACTCTCGAATATATGACCGACTTCTAAATGGTCATTACAGTGTCTGTTAGGATGTAAAACATAAACATGACAATTCTTCCAACGGACAGAATACAAGAGACCCAAACCACTATTTGAACAGAGAGCGTAGGTTCTAATCTCCTGTAGGCCCTCTCATGCCAACATTTTCGCGCAACGCAACGTGTAGAGGAGATAGCAGACAGATAAGGCAAGAAAGGATGGGAATATAAGAAGCTAGATAGTGGAGAGAGA